ATGAAAAAAACTTCTTCCCTGTAACTTTTTTAAGTATGCATTTTTTCTTGAGAGACAGAAGAGGTAATATGATCTCTTGCAATAGAGGCAGAGAGTATGGCTTCTTTCAAGTCCTTCCTTTCCATAAAGTCTCTCTCATCTTGTAAAATGCTTTGTTTGCTATGAGACCAATCTTCTTTCTCTATTGTTGATGGCATAGGATTTTTCACTTATGCAGTTATTTTAATAATGGCACCAATTTTGTTGGTTACTTCTTAGATGTGAAATTGCGCTCAAGCGTCTTTCTCTTTACAAAATCTACAGTCTCTCTCTCTCTTCTTGTTCTTGGACAAGGATAGAATATCAAATGGGAAAGTCATTGTTCTAAGTGTGCCACTTGCAATGCTACCTTAGTTAAGCACATGAGAATCTCATTGCGTCATTTCGAGATAATTTGGAACATGCACAATTATATTCAGTGCCCTCCATTGGTTTTATAGAAAGTAAAAAGCATGTATTGTAATAAATATAAGGGCAAACGTTTGTCCAAAATTTTGGATTATAGGTTTCTAAAATCACCAATCAGAAATAAGATGTGTGTGTATAAAGATACACAGGAATATTCATGGCCCATTTTATACTAAAGCAAAGCAACCAAACTCATATCTCAAAGTCAGAGGAAAGACCAGGCTGGAACAAATGAGCAGAAATATATGCCAATCAACACACCCACACAGTGAAATCTTCATCCTCATCCTTCTCCAAAAACTTATTTATATAATCAAGGCAAAATATATACAAGATGTAATAAACAGAAAAAGAGGCTTCTACAAAGCCACTGGCTTGCTTCGAATGTCAAGAGAACGTGAAAATGTGGCTTTATAAAAAGCAATTGCTAATGCCTATTTAATTCTTTCAGCTTCAAATGAGAACCTTGGCAAATCGAGCAAAACATGCGAACAAGAGCAAGCTCTCCATGTTGCAGCAGAGGGTCCTTCCATGACTTGCTGATAAATGTATCGATGCCTTCGATTATTGAACGCTAGGAAATAACAAGTGGGGCTAGCGACTCTCTTTATTCAGCGTCTTCCATGCAAATGAACAACTTGTCTTATGGCATCAAAGATAGACATGTCCTTCACTTCTTCCCATGCTTGCCAATCAGCAACCAGGTCAGCCCAGATCACTCAGTTCAGGAACTTTTAACTCTACAATTGCGTTCACCTCTATAGTATACTTCAGAATGGAATTCAATAAAAGTGATATGTCCTCCATGCATGATGATGGGGGTGAAATTCCAAAGCATGCATGTTCCTAATGCAAAAAATTCAAGATTAGTTATTTTGCTAGGGGTACATGGAAAAAAAAGAAATCAAAATTAGGTAATACAATCATATATTCACTCAACCATGAGAGTAACAAGTATTCAAAATTTGAAAATTCCCATGCATATTTAGACAAAATAGGAGACACATATGCCCAAGTCAAATTGTCGATTGATATCAACAAACAATATTGATCACACAAGGAGCAAATGTTCTCGGGATTGTAAAAGAGACCATTTACTTTTTGTTTAAGGGGGTCACAATTACTTCTACTCATTGGATGTCAAATTTGATGGCTTAGGGTGGGTCACAAAGTCCGAGAATTATTTTTTTCAAACTTTGAGTTTATCTAATGACACTCCTACAACCATCCAATTTGAGATCTTAGGGACATAAATGATTGTGACCTCCTTGTACAAAAAGTAAATGGTCTCTTTGTATACTTTTTTATTGTTTTATATATACTTAACAAAAAAACCCAGAAGCAAATATTCTACATGTAAATGTGCTTAATACTTCTTTCATGGGTAGCAATAGTTATTTTTCATTTTGTTTGTGCAAATGTGCAGGTGCACGTGTGTGTCGGCGTGTAAGGGGGAGAGAGACAGAGGCTTGCACAATTACAAAGTAATATTAGGAATGTGGATATGGTTGGGACAAAAGTGTTGAAAAAAATATAGATATGAGATAATGTATAATGAATAGGTGTTTTAATTACATACATAGTAGGATGGAAAAAATATGAGGAAATGGTGATAAATGGTTACAAGATTACTTATAATGGCAAATACTACCAGAGACTACAATACACAGAATTCCCCAATTTCACGATATGAGCTTTAATCAGTTATTTAGATATTCCTCCAGCCTAAGGGGATCAACAACATAGAATAACAATATCAAATAGTACCTGTACAGCAAGCAAACAAGCCTCATGTAGCAAAGGTTGCTAAGCTGAAAATATGCCTAAAATGCTTGAACAGCCAGACCTCTACTGCTGACATAACTTACTGTTCTTTTCATCCATCATGGAATTGTGTCAAACATGAGCAAGTGCTGCTAGGGTAAATCCCAGCTCTACCACCTACAAAAAATTACATTGATTTAATAAAAGAGATAACTGAGAAACCACCTTGTTTAAAAAAACAAACAACAAATATCTATAATGCAGCTAGCAAAAGGCAAACAAACAACACATAAAGTTTCATTTTCCATATTCAATGGCTATTTGTACTTTTGTGGTCTCTGTTC